AAAAAAAAAAAAATGAGTAACAGTAATTTCTCCCTAGTGCACTCCCAATATCCATTACTTGATTTCATGAGTGTTATAATGAGTATCTTCTTTGAAGCATTCTTGCAGTTCCCATGCAGGGAGGTTGGAGAATGATTATCTGGGAAAACAAAAGTGTATACAGAGACCGGGGGAAAGAGGGAAATAGCCTTCTTACAGCCCTGACTCCCAACCAAGAATCTAAAAATCTGTAACCCACTTATATCATTTGACATTTCAGACACACTTGGTATCACTCTCCTTTCATCCAGATGAGGAATACTGGCTGGGCTTAATTATAGTCAGTCTTGCACCTCTCTATCCTTTGCAATGCTCTGCTGGCCATTTCTTAGACCAGGAACAAAAAGCACCCAGATATCCTGAGCATGGTCTACAAAGACCCACAAAACATTTTGTGGGAAAGGTCCTTCTGCCACAATATGAAACAGAAAGAGCATTTCAAGAGCCTGTTTCTCTTGCAGCCTCATGATTTAAAGAGTTGTGAACTTTAAAACTTCAAACCTGAGGAAGAGTTAGTTGGAACTCAACTTACAATGTGGACAAAGCCACTCCATGAAAATGACACTGTACTGTTACTGTTACGTTCAGTAACTGACCTAGGCAAGTCACACCTTGGTGTGACTCAGGCTCCTGTCTATAAAAATGAGGTAACTGTGGTTGGTGGACAAAAACTGAAGTGCCAAGAAGCACATGGTCAGTTGCCAAGCACAACCTTAGACCCTTAATTCCCTAAATCATGATAGCATCAAGCACTTCACCTCCTTAACTGTCAACACAATCCTGAAATCAAACTGTGATTTTCTGCAATCTAAGAACAAAGAGTAGAACTTAAGAGGATACAGTATTAAATAATCCTCTGGTACCATTCATGGAAGGGTACCCCCTAAGCACCTCATCAGCAGGCCTGTTATTCTCCCTGCAGAGGGTTTATTTTCAAATTACTAAAGCCTATTTCTTGCTGAAAGAAGCCAAGTGATGGGAGAAAACAGCACGGGAGTTTGTCTTGGCTGTCCCTCGTTTCACGGGTAAGTGTGTGTGCTGGGGATGTCTTAGGTAGAATGTGTTAGGAAGGCCTTCTGAGTATCTGATATGGTAACAACTAAAATCCCTACACATCGGGAAAATCCACGAGTCTGTGAAAATGCTTCTCCAGATGTTCATATGGTGGTATCATTTTTTTTTCTAAACAAGTCTCAACATAAATAAAACCATAAGAAACAGGCAGAAAATGATCTATGCTTCCCTGTAGGCCTGAACTCAAGACCGAAAGTGTGTGTTCTCAAGACTTAGCAGTTTGACACTGGCATAAAAGCTGAGATTTATAAATGCACTCAGCACTTGCTTTATATAGAACATCAAAACCTAACAACAAATCAATTACTTTTGTGATAGAGGCCAGACCAAGAAAAGGTATTAATTAGTCTTCATATATATATACTAAGTCTCCAAATTAAATGGTCCATTCTAAATTTAAATGTAAATCAGGCATGCATTCTCATCCCCTCTCTACGTCCCAGCACTGTATTTCCTTGGAAGAGTTGCTTAACTTCTATGAGCTTCCTAAGACGGCTACAAAGCACAGTGTTTCCAAGTGCCTTGCAGGTGTTTCTAGGTAAGGAGGGCTGTAGATAAAATACAGAGGATATCAAGCCCTGGCCATTATGCCCGGCTGAGCTCCTTCCTCATTCCAGCCCACCACAGCCCCGTGTTGATTTTCTGCCCCTTTCTCCCTAAATTCAGACTGCAACTACCTCAAACCCAGTCAATTCAGGCCCATTTCTAATTTTTGAAAAGCATAGCCAGTATGAGGGGAGGCAGTATGATGCTAAAATAATGCACTTCTTTAAGGAAAAGAAGCCAAATCTCTACATTTTAAACTCATGGAAGTATAATCCATTGCTGAGACGGGCCACCTTTATGTAAAGAAATAAAAGGGCCAGTAAAAACAGCCTCAAGAGGAAAACTGAAGCTGGGACTCAATGTCAACACTGAATGTTAATATGCATGTAATCATGTGCTGAGGAGGCTATACCGAGAGTTTTTTAAAAAGATAAAAGTTTGTCTTAGTATTTGTGTTACTCCAACACTACCCAAGAAAGAGACATACCAACTCTCCTCTCAGGGTGGACCACAAGCTTAAGTGTGCACAGGGATGCCTTCATCAGGCATCCTTTTAGCTACAGCGCACAGCATACGGCCCTCCTTCATACTGACTACGGAGTATTCAAAGAGAAACAAAGATACACATAATCATAAACAGACTGTTTTCAGCTAGGAAAGTAAGGATACAGAAAAAGGCATGCATCGCTGACGTATGTAAGAGGCTATACTTCTATTATATCATTCAATTTTAACCTCGGTAATGTCTCACAAAGGCTGCTTTATGCAACCTGCTCTGTACCCACTCAATGCTGAATCACTAAAACATCTACCTTGTGCATGTTGAGATTTTGAACCTAATAACAAAGTCTTTCTTTCCCTTGTATCATCTATTCTTAAAGCACATCAGTAAATAATTTGGTCAGCATGAAATATAACATGAACTGTATTCTCTTCTAGTTTCTTGCACATGGCATCCCATCCACGGTTATTAAACACCAGATGGCAGAGTGGAAAGGTTCACAGCTTACTTTATATGGCATCATGTAAACATTAATACAGTCATAAGACAATCAATGATGAAAAGTTCCCAACTACTATTCACTTTATTTTCTCAATAGATCCTGAAAGACCCTGCTAGGGCAACCAAAGCAAGTCACCATCCTTTTCTACAGATGTGGGACTCTGAATTTTATTATTATTATTATCTGTCCATGGTACAATGGCAACAGGATGCCCTTTCCATGATTACATAAAATGCAAGTGAGGGACACTGACTGCTTCTACCAACTTGTCAAAAGTCCTGCTATCAAAATGTTTTGTTTTCAAAGAAATTAGCTTTAATTATTTCCCCCTGTGCTTTCAAAGGGTTAGCAGACACAGTAAGATTTAGAATTAAAATCTTTACTCAAATTGGTATCATTTCCTACATAGTATGACTGTCTCACACTAACCAGAATCATCCCCTTTGGTAGAACAACTTTTGAAGCTTTGGGTTCCTTTACAGCCTTTATATTTTAGAAGAAAATGCGTGTTTCTTTTCTCAAAAAGAAAAAAAAACTGTTCTTTGCAGCTTTGGGTTCTTTTACAGTCTTTACATTTTGGGGGAAAAAATGCATGCTTTTTTTTTTTCAAAAAGAAAAAACTATTCTTGGCAGAAGTCCAAGATAAGGAAAATAGCCTAATTTTCAACTCTCCTTCATGTTTCTAACCAACTCAAAATTGCCACTCTGTACTTACAAATATGTAATATGTTTATAGCACATTCCAAGAAAAATCATGCCACATGGTTTTAAAATACAGGGCACTGTGGCATCCAGTCTGTCTGTCTCTGACCCAGAGAGGAGCCTAAATATAGAAGGGATAGCATTCAAGGCAAGCTTTTAAATCCCCAGACAAAAACACAAGCAATGTTCCTATCTTCCTAAGTTTTCAACTATCACCAAGTATAAGATAACCAACTCACGTTGTATAATCTTTACCTAGACCCCAATAACTCTATTAAAGCACATTTGATAATTGAATATTCTCTTTGGGAGGCAAATTCTGGTGGTCTCATTCACATTAAAAGGAAACTTGGAAGAGGTATAAATGAATTCAAGAAATCAAAGATAGCACCCTTGACGTACAGGCCTAAAGGGACGGTCCAAACCATCCACTCTACTAAGAAGTTGTACTACTCATCCCCAAGCTCCCCTCACACCTTAATAAGGACGTACACTGCAACCCAACAGCACTTTTTCTTCTATTCATAGTGCTTTTTCTCCTTAAACCTCCCTTTTCTTCACAGAATCATAAATTCTTGTTACTCATCTGACCCGAAAGAGAATGGATAGAAGAGAGAAAAATGTTATCAAATTTATGACACCATCTAAAGTAAGGAAATATACAATTTAGGAATAACAAATGTCCTCTTCCCTCAACACCCTGGAGGGTGCACACTTCACCTCTTCTCCAGCATGCCCCGTAACACCTGTACAGCACTGCGGTCTTGGAGATGGGGCTGTCGGAACAGGACTCAGCCACCATGCTGGTCCCACTCTCTGTACATTTAGTGAGTGAACATTTTCTCTTCCTTTCTTTTTTGAGACAGAGCCTCACTATGTCACCCTTGGTAAAGTTCTGTGGCATCACAGCTCACAGCAATCTCAAACTCTTGGACTTAAGCAATTCTCTTGCCTCAGCCCTCCAAGTAGCTGGGACTACAGGCA